CTCTTCCATAAGGAATCAGATCCCTCTGCCACAGAGATTCCATCTCTTCCATAAGGAATCAGATCACTCTGCTACAGGAATTCCACCTCTTCCATAAGGAATCAGATCCCTCTGCCACAGGGATTCCTGTCCCACTCTGCCCACCAAGCTGTCGTGGGATCCAAGGTCTTATCACCCCATCCTTAAACTTTCCTTCCCACCTTTTACTCTGAGAATTTATTTGGGCCAGCAAATGTCACTATAACATTTACATTTTGCCCAATATAACCCACAGGAGGATGTTGCTGAAGACTGGTTAAAATCTAGAGGGAAACAACCCACATGGATTGAGGAACAAACCAGTCACCAACCCAGGCTGGTTTAACGGGAGTTCCATGACATCCCACAGACAGTAAATCATTTCCTCCCATATTTACAAACAATGGGAGTGGAAACTCCACTGTTTTGTAAAGGATCGGGTCTTTAACAACACCACCAAACCCCCACATTTTCTAACTTCACAATAAACACTGTCAAAATAAATATCCAAACGCCCTCAAACCCAGGCAGCCCAGCAAGAGTGAAAGGTTCTCATTCCCATTAAGCAGAATGGGAACCAGGGAATTAAAATTCCTGGGGCACACGTGAACCTTCACCTAACATTCCTTTTTCAAGAATAATATAGAACGTAACAATTACAGCAATTCTTTTTTTTCCTGTCCCCTCGTTTTATCTCTGTAACTGAAGTTTCCGTTTTGTTGTGATAATGATTTTATCAATAATTTATGATTATTTATTTGAATACACTAATCACATTCACCACTATTATAAGACCAGGGTGAAACATATTCTATTTCAAAGGTGTTTTTCATGGTAGAGAGTAATTTAGCAAAGCTGAAATGTCTTTCCCAAAAATATTTATAGTGCTTTTGCTGATTTTAAGTGGAATTTATCAAAGTGCTTTTACTTAGATTGATTAGTGGAAATGAAACAGTAGATCTTCACTGAAAAGGGTCTTTCTGAGATCTGAATGAAACCTTTTTGCGATGGTAATTTATTACAGAAATTGTTTTTCATGCCAAAATTCTAAATTTGTCCTTTTTATGAATTGAAAATAAAAACAAATTTTAACGGGGAGGATTTTCCTATAAAACTAATATATTTTAATTTCAGGAATATGGCTAATGATAATTAACTACTTCTTAGAGTTCCAGCCAAGTCCCTTTTTTATTAAATGTTGCTTAAAGATAGCACAGGGAAAAACCAGACTTTGCAGCCACTGCCTCATCCAAAAGCTCCCCAGCAGCACAGCAGATGAAAAGTCAGATGGACATCTCTCCGTGGCAGTTGTGCTTCACCATTTCTTTCTTGAGGGGGAATTTAGGAGCCTGTTTTCATTCCAGCTCTTGGACCTCTCCGTGAGACACATTTGTAGCACCCAAAGCACGTCCCAAGCCACAGTCCCTGCGGTGGGAGCAGGATCTGAGTGTGTTGAAATCCTTCATCCCTTGAGCTTTTGCCCCTCGGCCACTGGTGGATCTTCAACCTTCCTCCCTCCTAAACCCCCAGATTTGGGTGTTGGGGTGGCTGATTTCACTGAGGCAGAGCCACCACCTCAGCTTTTGGTTGCTCTCCTTGACCACAGGCCCAGGCTCCAAAGTGCCTCCAAATTTTGGACCAAGCCATGAGAGGAGCAGAGGGAAAACAAATCATTGCCATTATTTTCCCCTGGCACATGGAAACGGTGATGGCCACTTAAAAAATCCCCACATTTTCCTCCCAGGAAAGGGAAACAAGCCCAGAAGTGTGTGTGTGGTTCCATGTCAAGCGCTGGAGCTCCTTTTGACTTCACATACTTTCCCCTTATTTCTAATTAACGTGTTGAAGAATTTTAAAATGTAATAAACATTATTTCCAAACAACCAGAAAGTAAAGTTTGCTTCTTTCTGGTTTGATGTAAACATTTATAGCACAGCTCCATCCTTAAACAGTTAATCTTATGGTGACCTATTAAAATAAAATGAATTGTGTTATAATTCATCCTAAAGCAACCTCAGGGTTAGTGTATCAGGTAACTCCTGCTTTTGCAGCCCTCATGACGTTTTTAATCAAATTCAGCTGTAATTGCTGGAGCATTCACATGCCTCTTTTAATACTCTGCCTACATTTGGGACTCACACGAGTCTGTTTTCTCTTAACGTATCTAATAAATAGAAAACATGAAAAGAGCACATTTCGCAGGACTCGGAGCTTTTCCACCGTTTCATTTGTTGCAGCAATTGTCTGACAGGCTCATGGGAACGGAGCACTTGTCGGGTTCCCCCCGCACCCTCGGCTAAAACCCTTTGTGGGTTTTTAAGTCCCTGTTTGTGTTGCTCGCACCCCGTTAAAGGGGACACGGGCACGGGCGGGAGCGGCTGCCCCGGGAGAGCCCGCAGGGATTTCAGAGGCATCTTGAAGAAATCACCGCCGGTGATGGATGTTGAAATGTTGCTTATGTACAAGTCACCTACGGTTTGGTGAGGAAAACTGGAGATGTCGTGTCTGCCTCCGAGATATTTGGATAAACAAAACTCCCGCAACTTTCCCTGCTCGGGAGGCTGGAGGGGGGGCAGGGGGCTGGGTTTTTTTTTTCCTCCTTGGTCTGCGATGCTCCAGCTGTTTCCAATTTGCCAGCAATTTTCTTTTGGGCTAGTAAAGCTCCCAAGATGACTGCAACTGGCCACATGGGTCTCTCCGCTCGGCTGTGGGGTTTGGTTACAAGGGGCAGCAAAGGCAGCTCAGGATTCAGGGCACTCATCTCCCCTGAACTTGGGAGTGCTTTACATCCCGACTTTTTGTTAACGCCAGCCTTTAAAGTTTATTTCATTGCAGGCTGGGAGGCTGCTCACGGCTCCCTGTCAGAGGTTTGTTAAAAAATGAAGGAAAATAACAGGAAAAAGGCACGGGGGAGCGATGCAAGCGCCTGTTACCTGCCCCGCAACGAAAAGGAGGGGAGGAGGCGTCTGTTAACACGATAGTAAAGCCCTCGGGGTTCCTCTTCAGCGCCGTGTTTTGTGTAATTCACACGTGGAAACGTGAGAAAAGAATGAACGATGACTTTGAAACGTGAGCCGGTCCGCTCACAAGTCGGCTCGGTTGTGAGGGCGCAGAAAGAGTCGTTCCCATCCCCGCAGAATAATGAGATTAAGGCTTGGAAAGAGCATTTTGAACCCCGCGCACGCGAGTTTTTTAAAGCCATTTAAAAATGACAACGCTGCCTTTGCTTTGGGGTTCCCCCAAACCTCTCCGCACGTCACGAGTCCCTCCTGTCGCTTTGCTTTTTCCTTCCCTCCAAAGGCAGCGTCTCCCTAAAATCCCTGTCGCTTTACCTTGCTTAGGAAACAGTTTCTCTTGCCACAAACAACAACAATTATAATAATAACAAAGAATGCCAAGAATTTCTATATTAAAAAGTGGCTCTGGCGAGGTCCCTGGTCACTGGGTCCAGGTCTGAGTCTGTTTTCCTTGGAAATTGGGAGGAATGCTAAACGCCTCGTCTACCAGAGAGTAAATTGTGTGCGGAGCTCTAGGCACGGCTCCCAAGTTGCCCTTTCACCCCTTCACTTTATATGTTCCTCTTATTAAGGAGAAAAATGTTTCAATATGTTGGAATTTGGGGCAAAGCCGGCAAGGAGAGAAAGAGAATAGAGAATGGAAGGACATTTTCCAAATAGTTTTGGTAACCCTTCTGGGGGTTACGTTTAAAATTGATGTTGTACTAAAATCCCTGGAAGTTTCTTGCCCAGGTTAGTGCAAAATATTATCTGCTATCCCTTCAGAGATGACAAAATGCACCAGAAACGTGAGGAAAAAATACATCCCCGAATTGAAGATGTGTTTCTTTTCCCTCCCTGAACGCGTTACTATTTGATCGGTTCGTATTAAATAGCTCAAAAGATCTGGAGGTTTCGACTCGCGGGGAGAAATGCTGGGTTCTTGGTCCAAAAGAATATTTTGGAGCTGATTCCAGCTGGCTTTCCCAGCCTTGTGCTCTGTCATGGTTTCAGTCCCGCTTCAGGGGGAAACGGGTTAACTATTTCCAAGGTAAGAGTCGGGAAAAAAAGCTCAAAGTAAGGAACGATGATTTAAAAACGGATATTTGAAACTTCCTTGTTTAAAAAGGGGGATTTAAAGTAGCACTTGAGCTCCACTCAGCGTCTCTTTTCGGCCTGACTCCTCAGCAATATTTTTTTTAAAGAAAGTTGTGAATTTCCCCCCCCCATTTTTTTTTCTTTGCTGTGTTCTTTAAAGTCTCTCGCAGCTCCAGGAGGGCTCATTGGGCGAAGATGTCCCAGAGCCGCGATTAATCGGAGGGAACAGCTGGAATATTGATAAGGGCGGAAAACGGAAATCAAATGAAAAGTGGAGGGCACAGAAGCGAGGGAAAGGAAAGCACGTCCTGGAGCTGCGAGCAGCACAGAAGCCCCCTGAGGAAATGCCTGGTTGATGCAGCCTGTCTGGATGGGCTGGGAATTTTAACTTCAGCGCTGCTCTGGATCCAACAAGTTTAAATCTCTCCTCTCCTCGCAAAACTGCAGCGGCAAGGGTAGTAATCCACAGCTGGGGGAGTTCTGGTTTTGGTCTCAACCTGGATCTTTACAAACTGCTCTGCCACTGGTTGAGGGGAAAGGGTATAAAAGGTGAGTCATTTAAATCCCGGTAATAAGAATAAGCAAGAGGCGATTCTAAAAGTGGTTTAAGAGGCCCTTTTATATTGCGACTGACGCTGGCAGGGCGAGACGATTGATAAATAATCCACTGTAGACTTCTGAAAACGGGCTCCAAAATATGCAGATGTATTTATTTTATTGCACTGGCGTAATTAGAAGAGGGAAGTGATGGGGGGGCGAAGGGGGGAGACCGCTAATTAGGGGTAAAGAGGGGAGCGGGGGAAACCAATATGGGAATCCTTGACCCCAGAAAATTTACTGGCGAAGCAAAATTACCTCGTCCGTCCACTCTGCCTACCCCCACCCCCCGGTGCAAGTTCAGAAGCAAAAGAAACTGGAATGTGTTAGGAGGGAGGACGACAGGAAAAAAAGAATTGTACTTATCAGAAACACATTGTCCAGTTTGGAGCCGGCTGCCCTCCTGTGCCAGCTGGCCGCGTAATAAATGCTGGAAAAATCAATAAAAGGGGAGTTACGTGCAGATAGCGAACTTTTATTTTCCAGTTGTTGGGCTGTGGGGTTTTTTTCTTGCTTTCTCTTTTTTTTTTCCCCCCGTTAAGGCAGCAGATGTTGCGGGGGTGCGGGGGTGTCCCCGGGCTTTGCGGGGGGACACAGCTCCGGCTCGGGGCTCTCCCCGCTCCAGCGGCCGGGCTGCTTCATTAACCAGGGCCGTGATTAACCGCCGGGGTCTGGCTTGGATTAGCCCGGGACAAACTGGACTAACTGCGCACTCGGGACCCCACAGCCTTTCCTGCAGAGCTCCCAAAAAATACCCAACAGCCCAGGAGTGTCGTCCGCGACTCTTTCTGCATCTCCCTAATCCCGTCGTATCATTTCTCTGTAGTAAATTCTGAGTAAACATCTCAACTTTTCCCTCCCCATCCCGGGAAAACGGGACAGAGCAGAAGCGCTCGGGAGCCGCGTGCTGAGGGTGGGGGTGTGGATGTGTGTGAATGCGCTTGTGCTTCTTAATGATGCCCTAATTACACTCGGCTAATCGCTTTCTGGCGCTTCCCAAAAGGAATAAAGACTCTGAGAGGAGCGAGTAGGGGAAAAAAAAAATCCGTTGTCGGATATTTTCGTGCCTGTTTTCCCACACACCGTCACATTTTTCACGATCGTTGTTAATCTCTGCAGTGATGACTCGGGGGGGAGAGGCAGAAAATCCCCCCCCGTTCATCGGGAGATCATCAAGTCTTAGAAGTACAGAAAACCAGATGTAGTTGATGCGAGTGTGACAGAAAGTTTGGGCAGGATCCGAACTAGAAGGGCTGAGAGTGACAACTCTGAAGGTTGCTGGGTTTTATTTAAATATTTTGAACGATACTTCCATTCGGTATTATTTTTAATTTATTGTTTAATTATTGTTGGTGAGAAAGGTTCTTTAAATCAATCTTGGCCGGCGGGTTAATGGCTCGGGATGGTTTCAATGAGGCAGGAAAGGCAAATGCCCTTCACTTAGCCAAGTGAAACCCTTGGATACAAGTCAATAGGGTTAACTAGTCTCGACATGAAAACATGAGTATTTCAGCTGGCTTTTAATTGTTGGCTAAGAAATTCAGTTAATCAAATGTCAAACATTTCCCTCTGCTCTGGGCAAAAGTGGAGAAGGCTTTTTGCCTGAGGAGAAGGGGGAATCCAACCAAACTGTTATTAAAAACCAGAAATAAACCCCTGCTTTGTGAAGTCCTGATATTACTTGAGTTTTAGTTACTGTTCGGGATGTGTTTCTGTGTCCTTTAAAAGTTACACTTAAATGCTTGATCACTCCTCTTTAAATTTTATTACTAATTTTATTATTCAAACCATGTTTTATTTCTCTTCTTGTCTCCATACAAGTATATGATTTTATTTTTTTTTTTTATTTCAGGTCAAATTAAGGACCTTTAAATATATTTTTAAAACAAGTAAGGATGTTTCAGACTGTACCAGACACCTCGTCTTACGTCAAGGTAAGACATGACAGCATCTTTAAACAGGTAATGTCACAAATTACAATCCTCCAAAATTCACAATGAATATTAATTGAAATGAATATTGAAGTTGAAAACCTTGCTCTTTCTTACTGAATTTAGCAAAAAAAGAGAAAATAATCCCTCTGCCCTCAGTGGGAGAGGGGGCAGAGACTCAAATATCACAGTTATCCCTCTGGAAATGGGCAGGGTTGAGTCGAAAGTTGGGAGAACAGCAGGATGTAAAAGTAGTCTTATCTTTTATTCCCCTGCACTGGTGTTGGTTTAGGGGGTTGTGCCACCCCAGTGTCACATGAGGGTGTCCTGAGCTCCATCCCAGCCGGGGTTTGTCGCTCTCAGCCCAAGGTGACCGCGGTGCTCCCGGTGCTACATCCCCCAACTGCCTCCCGATGTTACATCCCCCAACTGCCTCCCGATGTTCTGCCTCCCCGGACACCCTCGGGGGCTGAACCGGAGCTAAATTCCATTGCACTTCCCTCCGCTCCTCCTCCGTGCTCCTGAATCCAAAATGCAAGATGATCCGGGAGGTTTTGTGTTTTTTGAAAGGTACATTTCCAAATGGATTTAGAGGGGGAAAATATTTAATGAGTTAAACCAAAACATCTCTTTGAGTTATGGAGAAATGGATTGTCACACCAGGTGCTACTGAGATGTCTTTCACAGTGTTCCTGGTGGGTTTCCCTAAGTCCTTCCACACAGTTTAGAAGGTAAATTAACTTCAGTTGGTTTTATTTTTTTATCTGATAATTCTAAATCTTGCACTCTAAATAGTTGTTTGTATACATATATATATTTATAATTTTAAAAATGGATCTTAGAATGTATTTTGGTTTGCCACTTCTGCCTCTCTCTTTTCCTTAAAATTAAAACAGATACCAAAGAAGGGTTGGCACAGCCTTGTCCCTTTATAACTCAGTTGAGCACTATATTATATTTGACATCATATAGGTTTTTTTTCACAACAGTCCCCAAGAATGTAAATAAACCAAGTCTGGGACATCTGGGTTACACGTTTAAGGCAAACCCTGCATGCAACAGCACTTAGGGAAAATCTAAAACACAACCTCTTCTCTCCCTGAAGAAACACAGAAGGGTGTTAACTAGAGCTGGGTGGATAATTTGTAATGAATAATTTATTACAGGAATTTGGCCTCTCTTTTTTTTTGCTTTCCCTTAGTCAAGGATCTAGACCTCAAGTGGGATTTTCCTTTACATACATATTATTGGGAATGATCCACTGCATGATTTCTGTGTATAATCCCCGGGTTATGGCTCATTTTGGGCAGCTTGTTAGGAGTATTAGCTGCAATCAAGTTTGGTGGGATGACTCCCAGGTCATGTGGCACTGCTTGTATCCCCTGACTGGATTGGATTGTGCAGCTCAATGGACCAGGTTTCTGGAGCAAATCCAACCAGGAATGGTCAAGATTCCCCATTTGGTTGAGATCCCCCCAAATCCCACTCCCAGCTCAGTGTTTCAGGAGATGTTGGTGACTCAATTTTACTTTAGACCAGATTCTGCAACAACAGAAACTCTGAGGAAAACAAAGGAAATTCAGGTCTTGGGAAGTGAAATTCCCTCCCAGCTCAAGCAAAGCAAACCTGGGCCTGGCTTTAGCAGGAATTCCCTTTGGAGCTGCTGTCTGTGGGCAATGATCTGAGCTGTTCTGTTCACAATGAAGAGATGAAGGCCCTGTGACATCCCCTAGTCTGGCATCACCGCCTTTTGTTGGGAGGCAGATCCAGCTGCTGCTCCAGTTAGTAGCAAAATTCCTTTTGAATTAAGTGGAGCCAAGATCCAGGCCTAAATAATTCAACATTCCAGCGGGATTGAGTGAGTCTGTCCCTAACTGGGTCGGGATAACCTTGTCTTTAAGAACAATCCTGCAGGCAGAGGGCTTGGACAAAGTCCTCTTGGAATAAGCATGTGCTTGATCCAGCAGGAATAGCTCCTCAGGCAGGACAGGATTTATCCAGCGTGCCAGTTGGAGGGATGAGGGAGCTGTGTGAGCCTTTTATTCCAGCCCTTCATCTCCACTGCTGTTATTTTGAGCAAGGGTTTTGTCTCTGGTGTTTTGTCTCTGAAGCTTCTTTCACACCAGTGTCGTTGGGGAAATGATTTGTTCCCGTGCTTAAAAAAAAAAACCAACAGGATTTTCACAGGAGTCTGATCCAAAATCTTCTGAATACAAGGGAAATGTCTCCCATTGGCTCTTCAAAGTTTGGTTGGGCACCTCAGTACCAGTGAGATAAGGTGGTACCTGGGGAGCTCACTCAGAGCAGTGAGGCTGTTCATAAAAGTGGAAATGGGATTAAATTCAGGGAAGTTAGAACCTGAAACACGTGGATTGGGTTAATCTCTGGCCCCTCTGAGCTTGGTGGCACTTTCCACCGACTCAGACACACCCAGAGCCAGCAGAGAGGTTCTGACAGTGTCTGGTTGGTTGTAAAGAGTTGGGATTGATTAATGTTCCAGGCAGATCGTTGGGAAACATGGCTGTGCATCCAAGCCCTGGTGGAGTGAGCTTGGGGTTCCTAAGACACTTCAACTCTCCATTCCTCCACTTCTCCAGCCTTCAAATGCAGATGCAGCTGCTGTGTAAGAACAAGGAGCTGCTCAGACTTGTCTTTCCCCACACTGATCTTTCAGGACTTCCCAAGCTGTGGTGAGCAGGAAGTTTGAAAAGCAGAAGGTTGAATCCTGACTCCTTTCTCTTCCCAGATGATGATGACGATGATTCTTCTTATTGGTGTTGTTATTTTCTTTCATGTCATTCCTTCCCCAGAAAAACTTACTTCTTCATCCTATGGGAGGGAGGAGTATTTTACTTATTGCTTTTGTGAGATGTAAATTCTACCCCCATCAGTAAAAACAGCATTTGGATTGATGTCTTCTACAAATCCTCTTCGACAGATGCACAGTGTATATCAACTTTAGGTTTATTCTGTGCTTTGTACAGAAAAATGCCTTGTCTCTGTATGTTGTACCCCGGGGGGGCTTGCACAGGGTGTTCCACAGGAGCTCCCAGGAGGAACAAACTCCCTGTCACACCCCTGGGGACCAAACAGCCTCTGAGAACCTTCTGAAGACCTTCAGGTCCCACTGTTCTTGTTGGGGCTTGGAGGGGTGAGGTGAGGTGAGGAAGCTGGAGGGGCAAGAGGAGGATTTCATATTTAAATGGTTTGTTTTAAGGGGGGTGTTTTAACAAGTGGAGTTACACTGGTTGAAGTTCAGGCTCTCAGTGTTGTACCCTTGGTTTACATCCCAACCACGCAGGATGTACCTAAAGCCCTCATAAGAGATCCTAAAGAACCTCCTGCCCAACCTTCTCTCTCACACTTCTTGTATGGGCCTCGATGCAATAGAGGGGTGGGAATTCATAAAAATGAAAACTAATTTTGATCCTTACTGGCTTCTTCTACACAACTGTTCAAGTATTTATATCCCTCATACCGTTAGGGACTTACTGATCTGCAAGTACTTAATAATTTACAGTATATCAGAGGGTGCTAATCTCATCTAAACACGAGCATTTGACTTTAGAGAATGGAACATGTAATATAATTGGGAAATTAAATTTTAAAAGAAGACAGCACTGGAATCCTGACTGTAGGGATATGGAAAGAATTAGGGCTATAAGCAAAGCAACGTGACCTCTGAATACTGATTTTTTAATTATTACCATTGCCACAAGCTACTCCAGGGCCACAGCAGACCCTGCTCCCCCCCTGCACCGCCGGTCTGTGCTTTGACATGTGTGGAAAGGCGGCACAGGAATAATTCTGGGGGGTGCATAATTCACCCCCGCTTTTCTTCTGCCCTTCGGCAGCGTCCCAGCGCTGATCTCCCCTTTTATCCCCAACCCCCTCCTCGCACACTCAGCGCTTCTGCTTTCGCTTCCC